AATAGCCATACACGACGAAGCAAACACAGAGATATAAGGCTATGGATGAATTACGTGACTGGTGAGCAAGTAAAATATAGTTTGAAGAGGCGTGATGCTGGTACTACGACCAGCAACGGAAAATCWTCCCGGTCAAGCATTACAGCGTTTATTGACGCTATTAGTAGGAGCGTTATYAATAGTAGTGCMATTTCGAGCACTGATATTGGCTTGATAATAGATAATAGTTCCAAATCGACCTGTCTAGATAAAATATATTGAATATGCGTTGATTCTCATTCGTTTTTGATGCTCTAATGTATCATTATTCTTTCTCGTCTTTGTCTCCGCCATCTGCTTCTTGGGGTGTAATTGGCGCTYTTAGGGCCAGTGGGCTCCATAAAATTCCAAGCCAAAGGGCCACTAGAGATAGCATCTTYGCCAATCCTTCCGGAGAAACTCCCATATGATCCATCAACCACCCACCGCCTAAGGCAGACAGGGCTTCCCCGAGCAGTGCCAGGCTTGTGTCGATGCTGTTAATCCGTCCCAACAACTCTGGTGGGGTGAATTTCTGTATCAGGAGGGTCGAATTGATCCAAACGATTGCCGCTCCATTCGATCGGACTATGCCCGAAAGGCAGATGCTCCAAAAGACATTCGGAAACCATGACATTTGGATAAGGCCCATCGATATGGCGAGGTAGCCCAACACACACAACCTAACGATGMATTTCGGATGCGACAGGMTGGAAAATATGTCAGTAATGACAGATCCCACGATGCATCCAAYCCCAGTGCTCGCAAAGAGCAGCCCGAGCTTTAAGGCCGTGAGGGAGGGGTTCGTTTGGGATCCTCGTTCGCTAAATGTGACGTTTAGAACATCCACAGCGCCCCATGTCAGTGCCCCTGTGCCTTTCAACAATGCATAGGCTCCCAYCAACGGTTCTTGCACAAATGCAAATTGCAATCCACGGACAAACATGGCCAAAGTACCCGCGCTCTTGCCATCACCGTCGTTTGTTGCASTGAGTTGACGTTTTTCTCCCTCCTCTTGTGTTGTTTCTTCGCTTGATCCCTTTTGAACCTCGAGCAACAAAGRTGTTTCATCGGCGACAACAGTGCCCACGCTCTGGGCTGTTTTTTTTTTGGATTTGACGTTGTAATTTCCCTGTACCCCGAAATATAAAAACCCGGCACTAATCAAGTACGTGACAGAATCTATGACGAAACAGCCCTCGATGCCGACAACCGCGACCATTACCCCTCCCAGAGAACTTCCAAGGGCCGCCATWAGACTCCATGTCAATCCGGTCAATGTTGTTGCCTTCTTCAATTCTTCGTCGTTTTCTTCTTCTGTGTTGCTCGGATCGTTCCCTACAAGCTGCGGGACGATGGCATTGTTGTTCGGCAGGTACAATCCTGCCAGGACGTCGAGCAGGAAATTGGCCAGATAGCAGATGGGTACCGATTTCCGGTGGTAGGACCACAAGAAAACCACCAATACCCACGAAGATGCTACATCCAGCGTAATCTGTACGTTGCGGCGATCGTAGGAATCCGCTAATATTCCTCCAATGGGAGAAAAAAAAACGTTTGGCAAAAGCTTCACAAGTAACAAAATAGAAATCATGATGTTGTYGTCGCTTCTGTTGTTCGTTACTTCTTGGATCAATGAAATCGAGGCCAGGTAGGACATCCATTCCCCCTAGTATTCCGTTTCATTTCGCAAAAGGGTTCAAACATTGACAATCGTCAGGAATAATCGCAACAGAGTACGTCAAGAGACAAGCGATGGGTAYAGCATCGAATYGAAGCAGACAAACTGGAACCAAACGYAGCAACAGACTCACTYACTATTCGGTTCACGACATAACTCAACCAAAAGTATCGGAAATTCTTGTTGGTCCGCAGAAGACGCAGGTAAGCATTTTCATTCTCTGTTTCCACATCGTTGCATTTTTGTTCGGAAGAAAGAGTGGTTTTCGTTGACACAATTTGTGAGCACGTTTTGTTTTCATTTTCGACAGTGCTCTYATAGTCATTTGCGTTCTTGYTCTTATCCTTGTCCTGTGGTGCTGGTGTCTGTTTTCGTCTTTGCTCCCCTTCCGCCCTCGTTTTATTGTCATCGGATGCCGATATCATGTTGCTGTACTAATTTTGTTAGTTTGGCTCGATTTTTTGTGGCGGTAGTAAGAGCTACGCACTGGTTCCAAAAATCAATAGTGACCTGAAACCTGAAGGAGTTCGTATTTTGTACTCGTACTCGTACTCGTACGTAAGTATCCGTGAGTACTCGTACTCGTACTCGTAGTCTTGATGCTTTTCGCAGGCACACGTTTCATTCAAAAGGTTGGAAAGAATGTACGGTACGAAGGGGGMATGTTTCAAAAGGCGGGTTTCAAAACCCAAGACCAGTGAACTGCTGATACGAAATACTTTTTCAGTAGTTCTTGTTGTAACATAACTTTACAAAAAAGTGAGCTTTGCAAAATGTAGGTGTGCTCTATAGTGTGGTATAACTATGTGTTTACAATAAAGAGTGTGCTGAGTGTTGAGTGGATGCATGATTTATTGCTTGCTGTCACTCACTTTTAGCTAGTACTAGTAGTACACCACTAGTAAGAACAAGTTCTTGAAGAAGAAGCCTCCTTGGTGTGTGAAATAGAGTGTAGTGAGTTAATCTACTCGGTGTGTGTTGTTACTGATGATGGTTATGTGAGCAGAGGTAAGTCTGTTGTTGCTCATAACCTGTGAAACAGTGGTATGCTCCTTAGTGTCGTATGAATACGTGTTTACAATAAAGAGTGAGGTTATTCAGCACTAACTATTCGTGATTGTGGTGTTAATGTCTCACACCTTGTTGTTGTTGTTCTATAGTATACGGCTGGTCCTGCTAACATCATTATAACCCCTCCCATTGATCACCTTTGGAGTCAGGGATTGTAGGCACATTCTAAAGTATACTGCTGCTCCAGCTAGTAGCATCATAGTAATGATGCCTCCTCCCATACTTTTCCTCTAGTAAAGTCTGCCTGAAGCCCAGGTCAGGTTGTATCACAGGATCCATGGATTTGTAGTGGGTCTGTTTATTGATAGAATTTAGGCAGGTTGCTGGATTTGGTGTATGGTTGTGGCAATGGTGCCTCTGGTGGAAGATCCATGCGTGGTTTTGGGTGCCAGTATGCAAGTCCTTCCTCTCTTGTGGCCAGTAGTATTAATTCCGCAAAGTGCAATTTGGCTGGTGAGTGAGAGTGTTGACTGAGTGGGATTACTGGGCCTGTAATTGATATATCAATCTGATAGATGGTGAGGGCATTGATTAGTTCTCCTACACATTGTCTGCAACTGAATCCCTCAGATAATTGTAGTGCAATGGCTTCTACYAGGGGGTCATCTGGTCCTCTGGAGCGCTGTATTATCTTTTGATAGCTTGCTGCTTCATTCATATGGGTTGGTCTCTTTTGTGTTTGATATTTACTAAGTGTTTTAAGGTCCCATCCATGGTGAGGTGAGATCTTTCCAATGTATTTAGTACTGCAGTGTAGGTGATTGTAATGGTGTGTTTCATTCACATGGATACCATTGAATTTTCTGATATTGCCTATTGGTATGTTGAGTGGATTGGTCATGCAGTCCTGTAACATTTGGTGTTTGTTATCACAGTCAGTTTCCACAGCATWAGTAATACTAAGAAAGTCATTGACTTGTCTAAGGATGAGTATGAGTCCAGTAGGATCATGCTTATAGTATGCATGGTTCATGGTGTGTGGTGGACTTGAAGCCAAGGTCTTTAATAAGGATACCAACAAAGATGTATTTGTCCCACAGGCACAGTGCTCCTGGGTGTCCTTGACATGCTTTTAGAATAGGAATGACCTGTCCTGGGATCTCTGTGGAGGCATTCAGTCCACCATTGCTGGAATGGTGTGTCTACCTTCACCTAAAATGAAGCTTTTGGGGCTGGGGCTTCAGCAAACACCACATTGTCAACATCATGGCCAACACAAATAAGATTGAGTGCTACAGAAAGAGCCCATGTTAATCTATGAATTGGTTGTTCAACACATGCAGCATAGATCTCTGCTAGAGTGATATCATTGCCATATCATTTACCAGCATCATTGCAGGTACATCTTGATTTGTGTTCTTCAATGCCTGTTAGTGGTTTTTCAAGAATGTACTAGTAGTATGTCCACACCCAAGGGAGGGCAGTCATCTCTGAGGTGCTATCCACTGGGTTGCCAAACATGCCAACCTTATTGCACCTATTGAGTTCTTGTTTCCATTCTGACTGGAGAAAAMATCATCCCATTGCAGTGTTTGTATTAGTGTTCTTCTGTTGGGCTTTGATATTTKGATCTGCTCTGATACTGATATGACGGAGTCAATAGGCTGTGGCCAGTCCTGTTTGTTGATCCACAGGCTTGTCCATAGTTGAGGGAATGAAGATGGTGGGAAATTYCATTTAGCTGATCTGCCTGTAGTGTTGCGTCACAAAAAGTGATCGCGGGGTTTGGTCGCACCCCCATGCGCGTAGTTTTTGTGCGACCACTTAACACGGGTAATTTGTGATTATCAAGCTTGGTGACAACCCCCGTTTTGTGATTAATTTTGTGTCACATTTTGTTTCACTAGCCGCACAAATTTATTCTGCCAGTTTTTGGACCCTCAATCCCTTTTGCACTGCTCGATATTTTTATGTTGGGGGGTCGTGATACACAACCTCAATGTTTGCGATGTCTGTACCCTTTGACAACAAATTTTGGAATTTAATCTCAAGATTCTCACACACAAATAGTATTACTCTCAAATAACCTTGGCGGAATCAATGTCTGGAACAAAGATTCTGCTACCATATGCTATCAAATGTACATAAAAGTCGGGCTTTGTAACTACCCCACGGATCAGAAATCACATGACTAACCATGTTATAATTATGTATGATGAATGAATTCTAAAACAGTTTTCTTGGAATACTAAACATCTTCCACAACATCCCCTACCATTCCTAGGATTAAATTGTCCCCGGCACACTTTATGGGGTCGTCGGTAAGGTTTCTGAACCTTTCGGAAACATAAATGTTTTCCATCATGGTAAAATGAACCCTTGGTTCCAAGTTTGTTGATAGTATAACTCTACTGTTCTTCCTTCTGCATTCCTCCCTGAACCGTTCTCTCATCTGTTTTTCGAAAAGCTCTCCAGTTTGAGGGTTTCTTTGGAGTTCCTTAATTTTGGCGCACAACTTGTAAAATAGAACCTTTCCCTCCAGAGCCCACCCAATCCTTCTTCCGCTTTTTGCATCGCAGAATCTNAGTGAGGGAGCCAAAGGTGAATTTAATGCTGGTCTTGTGTGATACTTCAGTTGAGGTAGATTGAATGGCTGCCTAATTGCCTCATTTGAGTTGGTGGATTTGTCTGTCTATTGCAGTTAGGTGTTGTGTCCACTTGGCATCATTGGCTATCAGCTGATCCTACAGCAGTGTGCTGGATGGTTTCTCTGAAGGGAATTTGCTGGGTGTGGTGTCAAAACTATCTTTGATTGATTGAAGTTCAGTATCAACGTTGTCATAGTGCTTTTCATACTGAGCAAGTTGTTCTGATTCMGTGGGGGAGAGGCTTTCCTTTTGTTTATATTGGGCTTGTTTGCACCCAAACTGTTGGATGGGCYCTGTAGGTGGAATGTCCAGGCTGCTGATGGATGATTCACACTTGCTGACTGTACTGCCACTGTTATKAGCTTCTTCCAGTTCCCAAATGAGTTCATCCCTGGGGGGGGGGGGATCAGGGCTTGGTGGAAGGTGTGCTGGGGGTTTGGATTGTCTTTGGGGTGGAATTGCCTCTGGTGGGGTTTCTGTAGTAGGTGGGAGCACCAGATTCAGGTATGTAGTGAAAGCTATGCTGCTGTAGTGATAGTAGTGTGTGTCTTGGTCAATGATCTTGAAGTGATTTTGGTGGATCAATTCCTATATGATGTCTCCTAGTAGTAGTGCAGTAAGTTTGTCGATGCTATTGAGCTATKTAGTGTGGATAACACTTAAGTGGGTGATATAGCTTGACGCCGGTGGTGGCTATTTGGGCTTGGTGAAGGGGGCAAGAAAGAGTTCATTGTTGTTGTATATCTCTAGTATGGTTGAGTGTGGAGGGAAGACTCACTCAAAGGCTTGTAGTGGTTCTTGTTGGATTGTTCCATCATATAGAATTAGTAGTTGCAATTTTGTTGCTGGTGGTTTGGTAATTGTTGGTAGCGTTTTAACCACCAGGTATTTCCCTATGGTAGRAGATTGGACTTGTTTATGCTCTTTATGTTTTTTGCAGCTGTTCTCTYGAGTGCCTAGTGTTGTCAACCTCTTCCTTGACAGTGCCATGGTTGTGGTCTTTTGTTGAGGATGGGGGTATCTGTTTAGTTGACACTGGTGTTCTGAGAATCTGTACCATGGGTTCTATGTGATTTTCTAATGGGTTCTCTTCCTGGAATGTTACTGATTAGGAGATTTTGAAGAAGGAGGACTCAACTGGAAAGTAGYGTGGCCTTGCTTCTGGTTGTCTGCTTCTTCTCCTTAGCTGAGTTGATTGGAAATCAACCTTACTGATGATGGTGATGAGCTGAGGCTTGTCTATTGTTGCTCATAATCAGCAAAATGTGTGTGTGCTCTTTATTGTGGTATGACTATGTTTTTGCAATAAATGATGTGGTGCTGCGGAGTGTTGAGTGGATGTGTTTATCACTGTCACTCACTATTCACTCGTGATTTACTATGTGGTATTGCCCCACAAGCTTATTCACTAACTACTCATGGTGATCTAGTCTCTGCCATGGCAACTTTGCATAAGAAAGTAAATGTACAGGTAGGTACGTACGGAATTTTTTCATAATGTTGAGTCTAATGACTCATACTCATACTACTACTCCTAATGTGCAAAAAAGCTCCGGTGGTGTACTAGTACTAGTACTAGCACTAGCACAAATCACAATAGTAATTAAAAATGCTCTTACATTTCTGAAATTTTATACAATTATGGCTACTATTAGTACTACTACTTGCTTTGTGGTAGAAAAGTTGGATAGTATCTCACAGGACAGAAGCTTGATCAATTGTCTGGTCTKGTAAGGTTCTGCAAGACTATCTTTTTGGAAATTCACATGTGTTCCTATTTTGCAATCAAACTTTCGTGTATACAACAAGCGTTCGAGCTGAATCTGTCCATGCGCATTGATTTGATGGATTGTATGAATGCTTCTTGTCTGTGCCTAGATGATTGACTATTTATTTTGGCAAAATTTGTATACTTCTATTGTGTTGCATTTCCTTCCCTTGCTGGCTCCAAAATTGAGACAASCTCTTTGTTCATTGTTCATCCCTAGTAATTGGTCAGTTCGGTCTAGGAAACATAGGGAACCATGGAGGGCGCAGATCGAACTGTTACCAAACGCTTTCTCTTCCCGTAGATTCGTTTGAGTCGGATGAGACGACGCACGTCAATCCCATCGCCTCCTTGCCATTACGGTGGTCCACTGGGACCAAAAAAGGGCTAGACTCGCAGGGTTGGATAGCTACTGGAGGTACATAAACACTTCGTGCTCTACCGGTCCAGTGRCTGATGAAATCTGGTGCCAAATCACTTGCATCCCCTGTTTCAATATTGGAGTCAACACCTGCATGAAAWTCGGTGAAATTGGTGTTRTTCACCCTCGCATTCTTCAGGATCCGGCAGGCAGTCTCGATGACTTGTGCTCGATTTGGTGACGATAGGTACTCCTCCTCCTCCGGAGMTTGTTCTCCTGGGCATTCCAACAATAGGGAGGTTGGAAACCACGCGGAGCGATTCATAATATTGTTGTTGGATGCGCTGGATMTCCCGCAGCTAGTGCGAGTAMTGTGATTRTGGCGATTGTTGTGCCGACGCTGAGCCTCTATCAAGCGCGAGATTTGGCTATCAAAATCGCCTTCGTTGTCGTCGAGGTATGGCATTCTGGAGTCCATGATGCTAGGAGGCGTGCGATAMAGAGGRTGTTGTTCTTTCTATTCTCTATTTGAATCGATGGGTGACACCACTTGACTTTTAGAAGTGGACGTACCGAAGGATAAACACAGTGTGACTGTAATCTAGTTTTCTAGTAGGGTGGGCAGAAGAACAATGTGCTATTCTCGATTTTTTGAAATATCGCTTATTGTAAGAGTATCCCGTTTGAGACATTGAAGTCATAATTGGTTCCGGTTTTCTTTGTTCATCCGAAAGAGAACATTCGCAAAGGGAACGATTTTTCGTTTTGAGAAAGAGAATAAAATCCAAAAAACAATATTCCGTACCGTTGCAATTCAGTTTTTATTTAATGCTATCGGTTACGTCCTCTTCAAAAATAATTTACAATAATCCACAAGTTGAACCAATGGATTGAAGTCATTCCTGAAGACACCATCGACTGTATAAAGGTGAAAGCACATAATTGCTCATACTTACAGAAGGTGAAAGGACAATAGTAAAAAATGAGCTGTGTTGACAGTGAAAAATCAGAAGGTGAGAGGGTAATAGTAAAAAATGAGCTGTGTTACCAGTGAAAAATGAGTAAGTGTGCGAAACAAAATTGGTTCCGGAATTGTGAAAATTACAGTAATCAGAAAAAGACACCTACGTACATACATAATTCAAAAAAATTATTTCACTGATAGTATATTGTGCCGTACAGTACGAACCGGGGGAGAATACAGCGCAGAATTTAAGAAGTTGGAAGGGCAATAGTAAAAAATGGGCTGTGTTACCAGTGAAGAATGAGTAAGTGTGCGAACAAAATTGGTTCGGGAATTGTGAAAATTACAGTAATCAGAAAAAGACACCTACGTATGTACGTAATTCAAAAAAATTATTTCACTGATAGTATCGTCCCGTACGGTACGAACCGGGGGAGAATACAGCTCAGAATTTAAGAAGTTGGAAGGGCAATAGTAAAAAATGGGCTGTGTTACCAGTGAAAAATGAGTAAGTGTGCGAACAAAATTGGTTCGGGAATTGTGAAAATTACAGTAATCAGAAAAAGACACTACGAGTTACGTACCTCTACTAGTGTTGTTAATTTTTTGTTTCTATTCATGTTCCAGGATTGGTGTTTGAATCGATTGTATTGTGATTGTTAATTACAGTAAATTTGTTGGTACGAACCAGTAGMGACTCCTAAWAGGGACTCWATGATGTCTGTCGTACACTCTTGCTTCTTGTTCAGYGCTTCTGTCAAAGCGATTGAAATAAGKTGAAGTACGGTACGTACAAGCGAAGGGAATGCTTCCCTTCTCATAGAAACTTTCCATAGAAAAACGAAGTGGACAACAACAACTACTAGTAGTACTACTAGTATCCCCCCAAACCCTCAGTTTGTGATTTGTCAAKACGACCAAGATAATTTGGCAAGACTTATTTGTTTCTTGGAGATTTTTGAGCAYGTTCTAAGCCTACTGCTCATCAAATGAGGCACTGAAGTTGAATCTACTATTAGCTACTAGTATGCAGAAGTTCTGGAAATGCTGATGACAMTTTTGGTGAATCTGTATCACGWAAAGCACCCCGTTCTTTTTTTCGACCAATGAACCCCAGATCCCAACGTCTCGGCCAGCACAAGCTCGAGCAACTCGGGCTGTCAGTTGAAGAAGGTCCTGGGGGAGGAGGTGACCGCAGTCTGACATCAACTAGCATTCTAATCCACTTTACTGGAATATTGTCCGAAGTTCTTGAGTTCAAGGTGTACGGGAATGAGAATGCTACTTGCTAACGCTGTTAGTACTTCTTCATGGTGGAAGAATTGTGCCTGCTCCAACAATGTCATGTTGCTAGAATGCGATCAAACGCAGTAGTATTGTATCGAAGCATGCCATTCTARTGTATATGCGTTGCAAAAATAGAACTACAGTAGTATTGTTTTCGATGCCCGTATTTGCAGTAGTTCTGTTGTTCTTTGCAAGYGATACCGGTTCCATATCAGACTCGGGGGAGATTGGTCGTTCTTTTTGTGTGCCGGTCACCGGTCGCCGTCCCCACTCCTGCTGTCGCTTCCACCGGCTCCTCTTCGTGCCGCCCCTTTCCCCCACGGCCGCGTCAGGAGCTCCCCGAGGATCTGCGTGGCCCGCGCCGGGAAGAGGTCCGCCACTACGTGCCCCGTCAGCCGGTACAGGACCCCGACGACGATCTCCCGCGGCGGGGGGAACGGCGACAGACAGGCGGTTTGGACCACGGCACCGGCCACCTCCCTGGGSGAGAGGGCCACCCTACAGAACCGGGGGAGCCAAAAGACGGGGGAATCCTCCATGCCAGCGGCGTCGCAAAAGCCGGTGGACGCGACGGCCCCCGGCAGGACGCAGGTGACCGAGACGATGTTGTTGTTGTAGCATCCGCTGCTCGAAGCTGCTTCCAGCTCCAGCTCCCGSCCCAGCGAGGCGCAAAAGGACCGCTGGAATGCCTTGCTGGCGGCGTAAACGGCACAGCCGGCGTTTCCCGGGACGAGGCCCATGATGGAGCTAACGAAGACAATGCGCTTGGATCGGCGTGGGGGGCTCGTTTCGKTATTGGCATTGGTTTCGCTTTCGCTTTTGGTTTCCACCCTTATTTTCCGGTGCCTCATGGCCCGTCCCACCCGGTGCGTTAGGTGGATCGTCCCCACGACGTTGAGAGACARGACCGCGTGGACCTTTTCCAGGCGGCAACCCTCGTGRAAAAAGTCGGACGAGTCCCCCAGCCCGGCGTTGTTGACAAGAACGTCGATGGCRCCCAGGAGCGATCCTCCCCCCGGGGCGACGGAGGGCGGCGCCTCTTTGTCTTCCAGGGMGGAGATCAGCCGGTCGATCTCGGAGGGATCGGACAGGTCGCAMCGAAGGGGGAAAACCTCCACCCCGGGGCAGGAAATCCCCAGCTCTTCCTCGAGCTGCTGCAGGCGTTYCAGGTTGCGGCCGACCACGACGAGGTGGACTCCCCTCCCCGCCAGGCCGACGGCGATCTCCCGCCCGATCCCCCTGCCGGCCCCCGTGACCAGCGCCAGCCTCGGACCGGTAGCTTCGCCTCCGGACCCGCCGCTGCCCCAAAGCCTCGCGGCCGCTGCCCGCAGAGCGTCGTCGGCGAGCGTACAGAGCGTCGCCAACAGCGGGAGCCAGCAMGCCGCCGTCAGAATCCCCCGCAGCCAACCAGCGACCGCCGGTGCGCTGCTGCCCCGGCCTTCGTCTCCCGTTTCGGTATACAGCAGGAGGATCAGCAGGGCCGACGAGTAAAACGCGATYGGGATGTTCACGTTGGGTCCCATTCTGCTCTGCTACTATGGTCCTTGTTGTTCTTYGGTTGCTATTGTTTCTCAAAGAAGTTCGGGTGCGGAATACGATTCTATCGGGAGCAAAGAGTGATGCATGTACGGGTATGAGTGTATGCTTTCGCTTGGGATTGATGAYCAGAGGATTCCGGATTCCGGGTTGCTATTGCATGCGAAGGCATWCTCTGTTCGATGTCTTGTTCTGATTGTCTGATGATGAACAGAATGCACAAATCGTCGATCGTGAAATGAAGGAAATCTTTTACAGGTACGAGTACGAGTACGTACAAGTACTTGGGTACCTTACCGGTAGATCCACTAGCAGCACACGAAGGATGCCTTTGACTCGATCGAACCATTCATAGAGAAAACAGAAATGCACTCATACGTAGTACTGATACGAATACGAACCCAGAAGGGTACATACGTACCTGTACCATGACACAACGAACCGTTTCGGCTAAGAAAGTGTCTCTTCTTCGAAGCCAAAATTTTTGATGGATTTCCATCAAACKGTGTCACTCTGTCACCGCCAAGTGCTAGAAGTTGAACCGGGACAGCGGAGATACTCTGTGCGCACCGCACAGCACGACCTCAACACCGGAACGACAGCTCGCGCAATTTCGATGGATTCGAAGCGTTCCGTATCGACTACTAAGAAGATTTGTTGCGCGCCCCTGTCACCGATTTTCGTCTTCTACCGAACCTGTTGGGTGGGATGCTCGATGAGACGAGGCGATGCGAGGACGCGAGACGAGACGATGYGATGCTATTTCCATCGGCGTTCGGGGAGGGGGATCTTTTCCCTGTCTCGGCAAAGCACAACTGCTGCTTTTCACGAATGAGGGGGATGCGCAGAATCCCTCATGTGCCAGGAAACAAGATCCGAGATGATCTATATACTTAACTAAGCCATAGCCGTGGGTAACTCGTAACAAGACCATTAMATTATTCTGGATAAAATAGGAATAATTCTGGTATCATATCGATTGCGAACCGAAACCAGTAGAACGAAGGAGGAATCATCGACGGCTATCGGGACCTCTTTTTCATTCACTGCAAGATGGCAATTCTCGGCTCATTAGAATGCCTGTCCAAGGCACATTTATCACGTCAATCACATACAGTAGCAGTAGTAGACGACTAATTGTTGTTGTTCTTTTCTAGAGTTCGTTTCTTTCTTCGTCTCGAGACAATCGGTTTGTGTTGTGTTGTTTTGTTTCCTTTCGCAACATCGTTCTAGTCTCGTTTTAAWTCGCTGAACCYCTCTTTCCTTCTTACGACAGGGCCACCAGGTGCGACTCCGGCTCCTGGAASGGCTCGATAAAGACGAGACGGGGAGACACGCTGCCGATCGTCGAGGCCCGGTCCCGGGTGATGGCAATCGTGGTCGGATAGTGGCTCTCGGCGCTCATGGTCCKGTGGCGGTGGTGGCGGGGGGGAGGAGTCGGCAGGCAGGACGTCGCCGCCGCMGAAGGCTGCGAGCGGTATCCGCCTCGGCGCCCGCCTTGYGAGGGTCCRACGGGGGCGCRGGCACCGGTCCTCYCGCTGCTTCCGGCGGAGGGGACCCTTCCCGGATTCGAGTGCGACCGCTGGGCGGTCCGCGCCGACGAGGACTGGCTGCTCGGCGGCGCCGCGATGCCCCCTGGGACCCGCTTCGACCGGAGCATCAGGTACATCTCCGTCTCGTTGCAGGGGATCGAGCCGTACGGCTTGCTTCCGCTGCCTTCCTGGCTCCCGTCGACCGTTTGGAAGTTGTTGTTCTTCATCTTTCTCGTTGCCAGCCCGCGTCGTTTCCTCCGCCGCCTGCGGGTCATGAAGCAGCGCACAAAGAGCCTCTTGAGAAAGGCCACCATCTGTTGTGGTGTTGCAGCCTTCTTCGAGGAGGATGGCTTGGTACCMCTGCTTGGTTTCGTTTGTTTTTGCTGCTCCAACCGTTTCGGTGTTTKCTGTTGAGGTTGCCGTTGTTKWTGTTGATGCTTGCATTTCTGATGTTGTGGATGCTTTTCTTGCAGCGTGGTTTCTGCCACGACCTCGGGGGAAGCCATTGGCGCGAGAGCGGAGGCTGATTTCACGGWAGGTGAAGCCACCACCGACATAGATCGCGAYGGGTTCTTGTGGTTGATGTTGATGCTATCGCACGGGYCAACAACCAMCGGATAGCTGTGGAGATTCCGGTTCAGGTTGCTGTTCTCTTTGTTGTTGCTGGTGCTGCCGCTGTTCTTCTTCCCGCTYTCCGGCACCACGGCCCGAACGCTGCCACAGCTGTGCAAACTAGACGGMGTCAGAGGTATCGTCGGGGTTCGCGTTGGGGTTCCCGCTTCGCAGTGGTGGTGCTGCTCCGGGGCCGTGCTTCCGTATTCCTGCCGGGGCCGGATCCGATAGTTGYTAGGCGACGGGTGGTACGGGGAGGTGGCCTGTGGACCCATTGTTTTGTGTATGAATTGCGTGTGGATCTGCGTACTTCTGTTACAAYTATAATTSTTTGTCCATTCCKTRGCACCGTACGAGTATTTCGTTTGTTCGCTGTGGTATCGGAGTAGCGGCGAGGGTAWCTGTGGATCGCGCTTCTACTACTCCGTCACTAGAATGGATCGAAGGGCCGTTGGTATTGTGTTKGTGCTAAAGTAATAGTAGAAACAGTTGWGGTATTTGTTCGGGTGAGGTGCGAAGGATGCCACAGGCTCATACAACTCTGTATGTGTGTCTTTCGAGAGAAGAGAAACGGTATGCAGTAAACTACCCGTACGTATTTCTCTGTGCTACAATACTGTAGGCAATAAAAATACTTCAGTGTTTTTGAATTGTGTCTCAATCGTRCGTTGTTTTCCCGTAAGCCACGGCAGAAAAAGTACTTCGTGTTTTTTATGTTCGCCGTTTCCAATCGGAACAAGAATTTCTCGATCGAATAATTCGGGATGTGACATGACCGATAGAAACATCACGTAATTTTCATAGTAAAAACAGCGGTGCGCAACCGCTCGCCACGAATCGAGGATTTTCTCTTAGTGTAAGTAGTACGAACTACAGKACTACAYGTATCACCCGTCTCGTTCTGCTTMGTACCTAGCCGTACGGAAGCTACGTAGTTGTTCGGTTTTTGGTGATCATCGCGGATCGCCGTTTTTTGCCTTGAAAAAGAGAATGAGTCAGATGGGGCATATAAATCGGAAAGACWGGCTCGGACACACCATAGGCAAGACCGGAAACGGCTACCCGCGGAGGCCGCGCTATGAAACAATTGGAATAACACCGGTCATGCAATTTTTGAATACTTGAGAGTACGAGTACSTAGCATGCACGATAGCATCCCATCGCACAATACGAGCCTTCGCGCAGCAACGACACGATCGCCATAATATTWTTGCTTCATTCATTCTTGATAACAGACTCAACAACAACTATCGATCGAGGTCATCGTCGGTCATTCTRGATGACCCTACGGGTCTGGTACGGTGAAGCGATGACCGAAGTAAGGATTTCTCGCCCTTCGTACTTTCGTATGGTTTGTAAGATATGATGCATGTGTTATTCATGACTCCATACGGGAATCCCGGATATACCGGTACCGCTGTACCGGAACTGGAACGAAATAAAACATTTGAAGGAATATGAATTCTTTCATGTGTTACGCATTTTTGTCATGCTTTTTGGCACGCTCAGCAGCTTCCATTATTACTTACTAGCTAAAATAGTAGTACTAATAGCAGGAAGAGTCAGATGAGACCACTCACGAAGAGCTTATTATTCTACCGGGACCTGCCATACTATCTTCCTTCTTGTTGTTTTTGTTGTTAATACTACTACTAGTACTACTACTAAAACAATAAGCATGCGAGAAGCCAGCAACTACTATTAGCACTACTATTATACTGGTACTTWTAAATACTAAAGGTTATATTGTTGCTTATTTTGCAGTCTCTCGTATCTGAATTTTGATCAATATTTCAAGTTCATATGTATTCTTCGTTTCTTTACGGTTTTGCGCATCAAGCTATTCGTTCTAACCGTTTCGTTTGTTCGATACATTCCTCGTCGAGACAATCACATCGCTTTCCTACCAAAATGTCCACCAGATCCTTCATTCGTGYATATAAAAGCGTAGGATACAACTGATCGACGAAGTTTGGATCGTTCGTGTGTGCACATGACTTTTTAGGCCCAAACTTGGCGAACGTGCTTGAGTCTGCGGCGTCCGCCTTTACCTACAAATGAAAAGATAATGAAAAATAATTAGGAACGCTGCAAAATAATGACGTTGCATAGGATTTGGTTGCTTTGATCTATTGAACATCGAACCAACCTTT